TCCTCGCATGGTGTGCAGAGCTGGTGGGCAAGAATTACTCTTGGCAAAACGCAGAGGCACCTTGGGTGGTAGAGGCGTCATCAGTAGGGGCCAGAGGCAACAGGGCACCAACCAGAAGAAGCTAAGACCCCCTGTGGGTGCAGACCGTGCAGTGACACACGGGGGAGGCTCAGCTCTCCCCTGGGGAGAGGGAGGCTGGCTGCAGCACCACAGCTCTGCCCTGGCCCAGCTCCAAGGCTGGGCACCTTGGGGCTGAGCTGGCACAACCTGTTCCTAGGCCGTGCTACCCCAGCAAGCTCCGTCCCGCACGGCTGCCTTTCCCCCCTGCCCCTTCCCTGCCCTCCACTCACAGGCTGCTGTCCCAGCCCAGGGCTGGCTCGGTGGCTGCTCACGTGGGGCTGCAGCCACCTCACCTTCCCCTGCACTTCCCCTGACCTTGGCTGCCGCTGGCACTCACGCTCGGGCACTCACCACATCACTGCATCTCCCAGCCCTGCCAGGCAGGCACCAGCTGTTCTGTCCCTCTTTGCAGCTGTGTCCTGCTGCTCCTCGGATGCAGATGGTTGATGACCATCCCATTGCCCACACATGCCCCAGCCTGAGCACCCAGCCCAGCCCTAGTCTGTCTTCATCCCTCTCCCTTTTCCCGCGCTATCTTTGACGGGGTTTTGCACTCTTGCAGCTGGCAGTGGGAAGATGTGGCACTGCAACCCAGATCTGGGTGATGCCAGGAAGCATTTGGCTTCCCACAGCCAGCTCCTGCCCCCGGCAGAACCTTCCAGTAGATTAGCAAGATGATTTTCGTTACAATTGCTCATCACTGTGAGAGCTGCAATTATGAATGACCGTTCCAGCTGTCAGAGTGGAGCAGGAGGAGAACACCCGCTTCCCCACACCCGCTGCCCTCGAGCCCGTTCCAGCTGGAGGTGCCTCACACCCATCCTCTGGGACAGCAGCTGCATCGTGTGAGCGAACGCTTGGCTGCTCCACTCAGGAGAACGCCCAGAGCTGGCGCACGTGGCCCTCGTGTGCCCCATGACTTCTTGTCCCCTGTGCAGACCTCGGGGCTAGGGCACAGCAGGGACCAGAGGATACTGCTGGGTAAACAGAGACTCCACTAGGGTCTGCCCCCTTGACCAATTTCCCCTTGCTGCAGTTTTGCCCCTCCCCGGGTTAATTACTGCCTCCTTTTGTTGTCCTGCTTGCTACAAAGAGGGATGACCCAGACAACACAAGGGGTCCAGCCTGGACTGACGTAAGCAGAGGAGAAATGAGAGGCGAAGATTTTCCCTGGAAAGCTGTAAGGAGCTGAGTCAGGCCCCAGAGGGGAGCAGGATGAGGTCTGAGCATGACCTTCCAGTTGGCTGCAGCTCCCACGCCAAACCACGAGCCTGGAGACAGCCAGCACTCGCAGAGACGTGTTTATTAAAGGCACTAAAAGCACCGTGGCTACATCAGTGCAGCCCAGGCAGAGGGTGTGGGGTGGGGGGAGGCATCGATGGGCCTGGGACGGCGGTGGCTGAGAGCTCTTTGGTAGGAAGCTGTGCCCAAGTCTTGCCA